GGGCACTCACCCTTCCCCCCAAGTCTATGGCCCACCACCTCCAGGCTATGAACCACCACAACAGGGATATGGACCACCACCACCACAAGGATATGGACCACCACCACCACAAGGATATGGACCACCACCACCTCAGGGATATGGACCACCACCTCAGGGATATGGACCACCACCTCAAGGATATGGACCACCACCCCAGGGATATGGACCACCACCCCAGGGATATGGACCACCACCCCAGGCATATGCACCAGCACCCCAATCCAACAATAATCAGGTAATAGAATTGAGCTTATGTTTTCAGCTTTGCCATGTTTTATAAAAGTTTTTTACAACGATTTTCCTTAAAATTAGACCATTTGTAATATGAGGTGCTAATTAATTTTAAATTTTGCTAAGTCCAAAGGTCTGTTGCGTGTATGAAAGATCCATGTTTGCCAGAAACTTACTCCACCTTATTAACTTATCCCTTTGAAGCCTGCATATGCCTTACACGAATCCCTCGATTAACACACATTCGATTAATGCATTTTCGATACAAATTTTCGATACCAAAATTCGATTAGTGCATACATAATACTCAGTTAGTATGGTAAAGCATTCCTCAGTTTAGCCATAGTAATTGAAAATTGATTTTTTTTATAGTTACCAATGTTTTTAAACTACAAATTTCCCATGATTCCTCTCGAATACTCATATCTGTTTGAAGCATATCTTGAAGTAAACAGATGACATCAGATATTATGAAACGGACTAAGTCCGACAATTATTTTAATATATTTTCTGTTCGTACGTTATTTTTATAATTACAAATATTTAAGTAAATGCTCTGTTTATAATAAACAATATTAACAACATTTACTAGCCTGAATGTCTCAGAAATTTCATAGAAAATATGTGACCTTGCTAAACAGACGCTTCCTCTGTAGCTAAATAGTATAGCACATCAGGCTATATGATGGTTCCATGTAGAATACAAGTTCGATTCCTGTTGAAGGATACAAATTTAAATATACATAGCACAACATATATTTATACAATTCACTATATTACTGGGTGTGAAAGAATTAGAAAAAAGAGAAACATTATTAAGGTTTGAGAATAATAGAAGACTAATCAGGAAGACAGTAGATTCACATTGCATTTAAATTCAAAGATCAAAGTTATCTGGAAAGCAAGAAGCCGCAAGAGAGTTCCACATGTGAGAAGTGCGAGAAAAGAAACTATTAGCATAGAACTTCTTACAGTTACATCTAGCCAATTCAACTGTATATTGATGAGATCTTGTCACCAGTCTAGTACTGCGCTTATATCCATAAAGTCTAGGTATCATTGCAAAAAAGCTCATCTGAACAATGACCATGAAAGTATTTATAGAAAAGGCACAGAGAGGCAAATTTATGGCAGTAGGAAAATGTCTGGAGCCGAGATGCTAGGTCAGGACCAATAACATTGCTGATTCTTCTTTGGATCTTATCAAGAATCTATAAATATATAGCAGGAGCAGAAAAACCATATGTGTTTTGTTAATAAAAATTAATATTCTAAGAATGGATGAATAGCAGTTGTTTATAGTTATGATGTAAGATAGATACTGGAGAGTAAAACTGTCTTGTGAATATTGTTTTGTTAATAAAAAAAAGTAAATTGTATCTTTAATTGAAAAAAAAAAATTTCATTGTCAAGGTTACAGTATGAGGGTTACCGAATGGAATTGTTTTATGGATGTAAGAATTATAGATGTTTAGGATATATTACTGAACTTGGGATATAAAATGTGTAACAGGCAGAGAAGGGAAACAATGAGAGAAAAAAACAGCATATTTCAGAAATTACAACACACTGAGGAATAAAATCCTCATCTCTCACTGTTGGCACCCTCCTGTCTGTTTTGCATCTGTGCTGCTGGTTAGAAACCCAATTCATGTCCACTTGCAATTTAATGGGTCTATTTTTGCATCTGTACCACAACAAGTTGTAAGGGAAGCATCCTCTTAGGTATCTGTTCTATAAAGTATTGGTAGGAAGCTGTTTGATTGGAACTTCCTCCTTATCAATGGAATATGAAGGGAATGAGGATGGTTCACTTCTGTGTACATGGCATGGTGGATCTTAGCTGTAAAAGTCTGAATAGTGTAACTAAAGAATTGAAATAATGAGAGTTTAGTGAGTGGCTTACAATATTTCATCTGTGAAGAAAGGGGCTGTAAGGTGGAAAATAAATCTGTTGGTTTCCTTTTAACATGTTGATTCCCAAGCCTCATTTCCCTTGTTGTCCCAGGGTCACAACATTCTTACATCCTATCACTCAGTAAGTTTAAAATATCTTTTTACTCTTTTCCGATTCTATGTTTCTTATGACTCACTTGGTTTAGTTGAAATTGAAATGTTTGCTTTTCTATTTATTTGATCCAACTTTAAAAATTTGAGCTACCATTTACACCCTTGTGCAAATTAATTGAAACAACTGTTTTAGCTTCCTTTCTTTCACCATATGGCCAGTTTAAGACTCACTGGAGTGACAGGGTGTAATCTATTTCTATTTTTTCCTCAGATTAGGTCATTTGCAGTGGTGTGCAGTAATATGAATCTATTTTCCGGGTGTATGGTGAAATTTGTTTGGACTTGAAAAATATTGCATCATCCAGGATTGCATCAAATTTTTATCAATCACAGACACTATTGTCTTGACTGTCAATTAGTTGTCCTATGGCTATTTTCTGCAATGGCCATTACTCCAAGGAATTGTATGAAAACTGTAACACTTACCAGTGAGCAAATCAAAGTACTATAGACTGACGTAGAAACTCTCCTGATTTAAATCCAATTGAGAATCTGTAGTCAATCTGCAAGGACTTTGTGGAAAGGACATACAAAGTACTAACATGTGCACTGGGTCATGTTTCATTGGAAAAATATGAAAAAAAGTAAATAATAACAGAATTATTCGTTTTGTTTCAATTAATTTGTACAAGGATGTAAGCAACATGGCTACTGGTCAAAATCATAAGTTGCTTATAAAATAATTGTGTATCTTTTTCCTGAATTATTTTTTATATTAATTTTAATTTAAAAATAAAAATGAATAAAAATAAAAAATGAATGACCCCCAAATAACAAAATGACCCCCAAATAACAACAGTAGAAATTCCAAAAGGAAAACAAAATAAAAGACAAAAAAATAAAAAAAAATATTTAAATTTAAGTTTACCTAAATGCATTGTACAATTCTAAGGATGTAAAAATAAAAATGAATGACCCCAAATAACAAAATGACCCCCAAATAACAACAGTAGAAATTCCAAAAGGAAAACAAAATAAAAGACAAAAAAATAAAAAAAAAATATTTAATTTAAAAAAAAAAGTTTGTGGTTCTGATGTACCATGATCTCATAAGCAATCAGTTATAGCATCCCACTCCCAATAATCCTTGTAGAAAAAAAAATTGGAAAACAACCTACCAGAGGATCATGTGGGTCTTACAGGCATATAACCAGGACTCTCCAGTGGGTCATGTGTGATCCAACATGTTAAAATGATGAACTATCAAAATTATCAATTTTATTAAGTATTATCTTTGCAATACAACTTATTGTAATAATTGTTATTACTCACATTATTCAATATTACTTTGATCAAACGCAATAGAAAATTAATAAATAGAAAGGTTTTCAGAATTTGGGACAAAAATTTGTTGCTTTACGTTAATGGAATCCAGCTGAGAATTCAATGATAGATGCTAAATTATCAAACAACCGACTTTCAGAACGAACAATAAATTGCTAATACCAGAATGACATAGCTGTCCTATCATTGTTCCAGGATGATAACCTGGCTTTAATTTCAAACATCCCTTTATGGGAAAGATTGCACTGCAGGAAAATTTCATTGGTTTTTTTTTAAATCGAAATTCAAACTGATAGCAAACTAAAGGTCTTTTGATTCAAATAATAATAGCCCATGGTGACAATTTAGTATTTACAATATAATAATTTTCAAAGGTGAAAGTCATTTCAAAAAAGCCAACAGCAATCGTCTGCTTAGGGGGATTCATATTTATTGGAATAACATAAATTATGGATTTCTCCTTTTTGTGCACTCAGTTTCATTTTTTTCTAGGTTAGGTTTTCAAAATAATAATTATATTTTTGTTACATATACTTCTTTCTTCCTCAAATTTATTTAAAAATAGAAAACAGCTGCACACAAACATGCATCTTTTTATTTATTTACTATCAAGTCATGTGACACAATTTTCCAGCCATACAAATAACGCTTTACTATGACACACCCACATAGCCTCCTCACCAATCAAGTAGTTGCTAAATATCCAAAATATTTTTTTATAAAAAAAGATCTCATGTAGTGTAGTGAATTGTATAAATATATGTTGTGCTATGTATATTTAAATTTGTTTAATAATGTTGTTATAATGTATTATGATTGTCACTTTTAGACAGATAATAATTTGAATATAATATACGACTGTTTATATACGTGGGTTGATATGAGAATGTGTATTGAAAACAAATATTGAATTTCCTATCAAAAATGCTGTAAAAACAGAAAACGGACCCCAGCACAAGAATCCCTTGTCTAATTTTATTTAAATTTGGCACTACACTCAACAGGGGTTCAAGGTACAATGTTTCTAAATTGGTTGGGGGATTTTTTATCATTTATACTGTATCTCAGGAACACACATACATACATACATACAAATGATTGATTCATTAATTTTCTACAGATTATCAACTCTTTCCAGGTTATTTAAAGCCAGACAATACTTTTAGATTTTAAGAATTTGGTGGGGAGGAGTAATAATTGTTTAGTGATTCAAGTCTTATTAATTAACCCATACCTAGGGGGAGAAGGTAGATTATTTCTTACCCGAGGGTATTTGTATGTAAATGAAAATAATGAAACCATCCAGAATTGAAACTCGGCTCTCCAGTTAACAATTTCGAGCCATTATTCATTACACCACCTGCACATCCAAGCATACAGAACCTGGTATTCTCAAGCGATTACCCATCTAAGTACTGATCAGGCTCGATGTTGCTTAACTTCAGTGATCATATGGGGACCAGGGTTTCAATAAATTTTCAATATAGCCTTATTCAAATACTGGTTGCTGATTGATTAACCAATTTGTTTTTTATGACTTATCAACCCTTTGTGAGTTATTTAATACTGAAACATATTTTGGATTGTCAGAAGAATTGTTTAGAATCTTCTGAGATTGTAAAAAGATTTCGAGATGATAATGTTTTACTGAAACAAGTTTTAATAAATGAACAAGTATTGGGGGAGAAGAGGTAGTTTCATGCCTTTCCAAAAGATAGTTGAATGTAAGTGAATATAATGAACCCAGTGGGAATTAGAACTTGGGCATCCAATTAACAACTCTGAGCAATTATCCACCAATATATCCAAACTTACAGAACCTGTTATTCCCAAATGTTCTCACATCTAAGTACTGACCAGGCTCACAAAGATTAGAATTTAAGTTTTATATAAATAAATAGAATATAAACAAATCCAAGGCCTGCTGTCTCCTTTGGGACAAAAAATGTCTTTACAGTCAATCACACTCACTTTGTTTGACAAACCCATGTCTTTATGGTCATCACTCCTTTTGGAGGAACACGTCACTTTATGGACAATTATATTCACTCCTTTTGAAGGAACCCAAGTCTTTAAAATCAATCACACTCACTCTTTTTGGACAAACCCGTGTCTTTATTGTCAATCACTCCTTTTGGAGGAACACGTCACTTTATGGACAATGATATTCACTCCTTTTGAAGGAACCCAAGTCTTTAAAATCAATCACACTCACTCTTTTTGGACAAACCCGTGTCTTTATTGTCAATCACTCCTTTTGGAGGAACACGTCACTTTATGGACAATTATATTCACTCCTTTTGAAGGAACCCAAGTCTTTAAAATCAATCACACTCACTCTTTTTGGACAAACCCGTGTCTTTATTGTCAATCACTCCTTTTGGAGGGACACTTAACTTTACAGAAATTCCTACTCTCTACACTTGAACAATTGCAGGTTGGTGAGACTATTTTAATCCATAGTTGGGGTGGATGTCCATTGACGAATCCAACCTTTAGCAGCTCGTTTTTTGTGCAGCTAGATTTTAAATTAACCTCTTCACCGGCTGGTTGAGGAGCCAGTTTAGTCACTGACCATTCCACGACTCACATTTCAGAGTTTTCCTTTTCCTCAACTAGTTGCCTCTTAAGGGTGTAGAATCCTACTATTTAACACTTAGTTTTTTTGGTGGGGGAGATAAGATAGATTCGTACCTTTCCCAAGAGTATTTACATGTAATTGAATATAATGAACCTGACTTGTATTGGAACATGGCCCTCTGATTCCTCGATCCGAGCCATTAGCAATTATTCCACCATGAATCCGGTTTAATAGTATCCTGTTATAATTATGCTTCTCTCTGCCTTAGTTCACAAGACAGTTATATACTCCCTATAACTCATAAGTAACAGATTATTCTGTTTTGATTTTGGGAAAAGAGAGGAAAAGACACTACTTGGTTTCAGTAAGAAAATAAAAAGAAATAAAGAAGTGGAGCGAGAGAATCAGATTAAGTGGATAAGAACAGATACTACATGTTGATCTTAGCTAAAAGATCAAGAATCAATGGTGACTGTGACTAAAGCGCCATTTCTCAGATGCACAGTATCAAATGACAAAAATCAAGTAAGATGATCTCCAAAAATCCAATTGCCATAAATAAAATAATATTGTCTGCTGAATTATTTTTAAGTTATTATTAAAAGAAATTTTCGTTAGATGGGAATTTGACTAGAAAGAAAGAAAGAAAGAAAGATAAAAGTGTTTAATGTTTCCTGTTAATACCTTGTAATTAAGACTATTCCGTTTTGATTGTGTAGAAAAATTGATTGATTGATGAGTTTGTTTAATGGCACATCAACTGCTTATGGGTCATTTAATATGGAATTTTAATTTTCTTGGGAGATTTGAAGTAATTAAAATATATGTTATTCTGCTTTCACAATTGAATACATGGTAGATGATACTCAGCTTTTGTGTTGACATAATTACTAGAAGCAGTGATAAGTGTGTTTTATGTTGTTTTGTTGAAGTTATCAAGAAATCAAGTTGGATTTCTTTAAGAAATTGTAGGATATTATATGGTTTAATATCATAAAAGAGTTCTTTCATGTTGGTTGGTTGATTTCATTCAACTTCTATGAGCTATTTAATGCCAAAATCTAGATATTTTGAATATCGTTTTATGGCTTCAACTACCAATATTGTGGGTTATTCTACTTTACAAATGTATTGTTGGAAATTCTACTATAAATATGTATCTTTATAAAAATGTATTGTTTTTTTTCTATATAATAATTTATTGCTGGTATTTTTGCTGGTATGAAAATATATTTTTATATTCTGCAACCTGTTTGGGAGTTCTCTACTTGCTCTAAGCTGTGGCCCCAACAGGTGAAATAAATGAACAGTACTAAAATGATAATAGATGGCAGCAGCTGAAAAAAAAATGACCACATATTAAATTTAATCATCCGAAACATTATGCTTCAATCATTTTTCATCATTGTTTGTTTTCTAATTTCAGACGGTTGTTGTGCAGACTTCAAATACAAACACAACAGTTGTAACTAAGTATGTCTTTGTCAAATTCTTTTCAAGTCTTTAAAATCTTTCATCTAAATCTTTATTTAAAAGGCTCCAAATAAAGTAACTATAAAGTAAAAACAAATACCCATATATATATATATATATATATATATATATATATATAGACATAAATTCCCAAGAGGATAGAATCCAGGTAGAACTCAATGTCCAGGATAGAGTAAGAATATAATATAAAAGGCTCAAACACTAATATTCCATGGTTATAATTTATTCCATTGGAATCGTAATCACAGTCCAAATCATCAGACCTACAGATTAAAAAAAAGCTTTTTTTTTTTTTTTGTAGATCTGATGATTTGAACTGATGATATATATATATATATATATATATATATATATATATATATATATATATATATATATATATATATATATATATATATATGTGTGTGTGTGTCTAGCATCTTTGGTGTTATAACTTTTATTATTATATTTTTCCCTGTCCATTCATTCACGTCATCCAAGACAGACTTTCTTCTCATAATTTGTTTCCCCGTTTACAGTTCTGACGAGAGGGGACAAAACTGGTCGACTTCTTGTGTTTTTGTTTTAAAATTTTCATGGCCTAGAGTAAAAAATTTATTGCCTTTAATGCCATAATACATATATATATATATATAACAAGTGATAAACGTTATATATATATATATATATGACAAGTGATAATCGTCATATATATATATATATAAAAGAATGAAATTCACAATATTGATACATATTTTTTAATCCAATCTAAGCCTTCAGCTTACATAAACCATTATCACTGTCTTGTCTGTATATTGCTTAATATATTGTACAGTAATTGACATCTTTGATAATGGCTTATGTAAGCTGAAAGCTAGATTGGATTAAAAAATAGATTGGATTTTTTCTTCGTTTAAATAATGTTATTATGGATCAGACGTTATGAAAAGAATTTACATAAAATAAATAACCAACACTTGTCTATATTATTTAATGAAACATGTATGAATATATATATATATATATATATATATATTTCACTTTGGGATGATGTAATTATTAGCAAGCTTGTCTCACCATTTACATAAAATAAATAACCAACACTTGTCTATATTATTTAATGAAACATGAATATGAATATATATATATATATATATATATATATATATATATATATATTTCACTTTGGGATGATGTAATTATTAGCAAGCTTGTCTCACTAGATCAGTTACAACTGAAAAGTTAATTCAATCCTCACTAGGTGTCTGATACTTATGGCCTTCTGACACAATTTAGCTACACTTAGTAAATTATATATATATATATATATATATATATATATGAGACAAGAGAAAAAAACTATTCCAAATGCTTTGAATGACCTTTCAACTGTCAGATGAATATTCATGAATGTTTTCAAATTTATAAGCATTGATAAACCAATGACAACTTCGTTTTTGTATGTAAACACATGCAGCAAAATAAATTCTACATTGCCTTGATAAAGTCCCTCTAATATATATAATATATATATATATATATATATTGTGTATATTTAGGCAGCAATTTTTCATTAAATAATATAGACAAGTTTTGTCTATTTATTTTAAGTAAATTCCTTTTGTATTGTCTGATAAGCTTAATCACATTATCATTGAAAGACGAAAGGAAAACACCATATTGATACATGTTTAAATCCAATCTAAGCTTTCGGTTTACATAAGCCATTATCAATATATATATATATATATATAGAGAGAGAGTGGAGAGAGATAAACCGGATGCGATGGATAAATTGTCGCCATTTTATATTTTTAATTTTGCATATACACATTGTTTGTTTTATAATAGTATCATCTGGCACCATCTGCAAGAAAAAGAGCACCATGATGCAATTTACTTCACCAGAAATTTAGAAATGGCATACTGTACTGCCTGGTATTCATGCTGGAAGCTTCAATATGAACATTTCAGAGTGTTTGGGTGCCAATCTGAGGAAAGAGTTGGATGATATAACAAGCCAACATCAAGGTGTTTGGAGTGATCACTGGTGATGGCAATGTTATGCCTCTATTTATCTTCCCACAGACATTCAGACTCAACATGGATGCCTACATCAGGTGACTTGAGGAGGTAGTGCTGTCCTGGATCACCTAAATCCCCAGCCCTCAACCTCCTTGATTGTTATTTGTTAGGTACAGTTGCGCAGGAGACCAACAAAACACCTTGTAACACCAAAGATGAACTGAAGGCAAGGATTATGGCTGTATTCACCATCTTAAACAAGGAGACTGTCAAAAAGAGTTGCAGGGGATTCTGAAGATGGCTGGAGGTTATGGTTGAAGCCAATGGTGATTTTATTGAATAAACTCTTTAGTATTTTAAGATATTTTTGTGTAGTTTTGGTAAATATATC